CTTCAGTTTCTTTGTAAAATGAAGGTAATAATTGAACTTACACCTCAAATTTGTTGTGAGGATAAAATGAAATACTATTTGAAAAGTACTTTATAAACTTTAAAGAGCTATAAAAATATTGCCAATCATCATTATCATCATCATTATTATTATTATAGTGCCTACTGAATGCACCATAGGAGTTCTTAAAAGAAAGATATAAGCAGGCTAGGGGAAAAAGGCTTCTCTAAGGAGATAAGGCTTGAACTGAGTTAGGTAGGATTGGGATCAGTAGAAGGTGAGAACACTATAAGCAAATATATACAATATAATTGTAAGGAATAAGCATGACATGTTCTTTGGGTGATGTACTTAGGTGATGTAAGGTGGATGCTGGGGAGTTATGGAAAATGAAGTTGGTTAGGTAAGGTAGGACCAGATTTGATGCAGTAGGAAACTGAGATGATTTTGAAGCAGAAGAGTGATACATAATACTTTCTAAGGGAGATTTCCCTGGAAGCAATGTGCAGCATTGAGTGAAGGAGGGAGGGAGTAGACCCAGGAAGGCCAGCTAGGAGATAGTTGAAATAATCCATAATTACTATAAGAAGGGACACAAAGGATACACTATCCTATTAATCCTGAGGGAATGTCATGTAGTCTAGTGGGCAGAACACTGGACTAGAAGTGGGGAAGACCTGGGTTCAAATCCCACTTGAGGAACTTATTAACTGTATGACTCTGGGCAAGTCATATCCTCTCTCAGTGCCTCAGTTTCTTCTCCTGTAAAGTTGGATTAGGTGGTCTTTAAGGTCCTTTCCAACTCTAAACCTATGATACTGTCATCCATATGAAGTGTCTGGAATAAGGGAAAATCTGGGCAAATATACGGTTGGTCGAGAGGAAAGAGTCCTGCCCCTGGAGTTCGAGGATCTGGGTTCAACATTCACTTCTCACGCTTATTTCTGTGACTGTGGGCGAGTTACCTCACCTCTCTGCAACAAGGTAGCGCCATAGTGCATAGGGAACTGGGCCTAGAGTCAGGAAGGCTCATCTTCCTAAGTTCAAATACTTAGGAGCTGTGTGACCCTGGGCGAGTCATTTTACCTTGTCTCCATTTCCTCATTTATAAAATGAGCTGGAGAAGGAAATGGCAAACCACTCCCAACCTTGTCAAGAAAATCCCAAATGGGATCACAAAGAGTCGGACACAACTGAAAAATAACTGAGCAACAAACCGACAATATCGTCTTTCTAGGTCTCAGTTTCCTTATCTGTAAAATAAGAGGCCGGGACCAGAAGGCCTGTCTGACGTTCCTTGAAGCTATAGATCTTTGTTCTATGTGAAAGAGACTTTGAGAAGGTGTGACATAGAAGGGAAAAGCTATCATCTTTGTTGACATGATTGATCCTGTCCAGATCACTGCAGGCTATCTGTCCCCCAAGCACAAAGAGGCATCCTGTTCATAGGGCACCGAACAAAATGAGTTACTTTCCTCGGACGACAGCTTGCCTCAGGGAGGACGAGCTTTTGCGCTGCTGTTGCTGAGTCATCCCACAGCCCGCTGAGCCAGCCAGATGTTCCGGGCAGCTCTTCCCCCACTTGAGTCACCGCCCCTCCCTCTCCTCATCGCTCTGCCCGGGTTGTCTTCCTAGCTCACCGCTCTGTGATGGGGAGTGAGGAGGGGGTGGAGCATGTGGGAGAAGGTGGAGATGTTTGGAAGTTCGGCTCAGGGGCCTGGAGTGAGAGCTCTGCTGCGTCACGTTGACGCTGCAGACGTGGTCAGGGTGGTCAGGAAAGAAAGAAAAACCTTTCTGACAGCAGGTACTGTTAATTTCCTATTAATACGAGCTCCATCAACTTTGGCATTTTCTTTGGGCTCTGAGAAAACACTGAAAATTTTGTTGCTAAATACAATGCCCTCCCAATTTCCTTGTGACCCATTAAAGAGGAAGGATGACGAGAGACCTTGAGAAGTCATTTAGTCCGTCTCCTTGCCTCTAGACATGCTCCGACTGACAAGACCCTTAGTTGTCTAGGGAATGAGCCACGTTTCTTTGATAATCGCTCTAGTACGGTACGGTTAGATGGTACAGTGGATAGAGCACTGGCCTTGTATTCAGGAAGACCTGAGTTCGAATGTGACTTCAGATACTTGATGCTACCTGTGTGATCCTGAGCAAGTCACTTCGCTCCATTGCCTCACCAAAAAAACCAAAAAATTTTGAAAAAAGATAATCATTCTAATATGTAACTACCTTTATTTTCTCTTCCGTGGCAAGGCTCACATATGGATATTTGGGTTTTTAAGACAAAAATCAGCAGTCTTTACAAAGAGGGAAAGAAACATTTATTAAATTTTATGTGCCAGGTGTTGTGTGAAGCACTTTACAAATGTTTGATCCTCACAACAACCATAGGAGGTAGGTACTATTATTCTTCCCCATTTTACAGTTGAGGAAACTGAAGCAAACAGAGGTGAAAGGATTTGCAGGGTCTGAGGCCAGATTTGATCTCAGGTCTTCCTGACTACAGGTGCCACTCTCTCCGTACTAGGCTACTTAGCTGCTTCTTGAGGACCATGGCTATGTCTTGCACATTTTGACACCCTTACCTACCCGCTAGCACAGTGCTTTGTCCGTAGTAGGTAGTCAAGGAGATGCAGTGTAAAGACCACTGAATTTGGAGTCAGAGGATCTGGATTCAAATTCTGGCTCAGCTGTTTACTCTATGACCTTGGGAGAGTCATTGCTCTTCCTTTTTCTGGACCTCAGTTTTTTCATTTGCAAAATGAGTAGGTTGCATTAGATGGCCTCTATGCTCACTTCCAGATCTAAAATTCTAGGACGCTATTTATTTATTACCTGTGCCAGTATGTTGAATGAATGGAAGATACTTTGGTACCTGGCTCTGCACTCCTCTCTCCCCTCATTTCCTCTTTTCTGAGAGAGAGAGCAGGGTCTCTAAGAGTATCAGGCAATTTGTCAACATGCAAAGGTAAGGCATTGCTAAAAGGTATGCTGTAAGGCAAATGATCAAGAATTCCAAGTCCACAGAAATCACACTAAGAAAACGCTTTTCCTTAGACCCACGTGTCCTTGCAGGCAGCTTTTCTGATTCTCTGCCGCCCTCTGGTGGTTGTCTTATATTTAAATTCCATCCCACATCTAGCCCCAAGCACACTCACCTTTCTTTCGAGGCTTGAGAGTTCCTACACACACACACTCACACACACACACACACACACACACGCACGCACGCACACAAATACATATGTACATATAAAGTATGTGCATATATACATATATACACCTATACATATTGCTCAGTCATTTTTCAGCTGTATTTGACTCTTCATGACCCCATTTGGGGTATTCTTGGAGCAAACAGGGTTAAGTGACTTCAGGGTAATGTAGCTAGTAAGTGTCTAAGGCCATATTTGAACTCAGAAAGATCATGTTCCTGACTCCAGGTCCAGCACTCTATCCACTGTGCCACCTAGCTGCCCTGCATATACATATGCATACACATGTATATATGTGTGTGCACGCACATGCATACATATGCGTATGCACAGATACACGTGTGTGCATGTATGTCTATGTGTATATGTATATGTGCCTTATATATGCATGATACAAATATATACACATATATACATACATACACCCAGAAGAGATACATACACATGCGCACGTATCTATAAATGTGTTTATATGTATGTGCATATTTGTGCGTGTGTGCATATGTATATATGTATATGTGTGTATGTATGTACACATATGTGTTTCATACTTTATTGGGGTAAGAGATATTGACAAATCCTTCTCTCTGTCAGTTTATCCAGTCTCTTAGTACACTTAATAGGAGAGTTTAAGTTCTCCCTCCCACCCAGATGCAAATCCTACCCTTTTACATTTATGTTGTTTGTTAAATGATGAGCCTTTATTAAATACCCTGCTTTATGCAAAGTATTGTGTTAAGACTGAGGAACCAGAGAGTTTAGTTCAGGCACAGTCACTGCTCACATGAAGCTTATCCTGATGACTCATTGATCAATGAATGAATGTGCCTGGGTGAGTTTCTTCCCCTCTTTTACACCCAGTAATCCTCCCCTCCCTTCTCTCCCCTCCCAAGTTCTTTCCTGGTTCCTGTTGTGCACAAAAAAGGGCAGATCCTCGTCCCCTGAAGTAGGCTTGCCCTTAAATGACCCTGGCTGGTACCTGGAGATACAGAATTTTCCAGCTTTCAAACAGTTATGCCCAATGAACCAGTGATTGACTGCTGAGCTGCTGAAGAGGCCAGGGCAAGGCTCAGCAGGCTTGAAGACAACTCATGGCTTTTATTACTTTACCTAAGTACATAAAAGTACAGTTATCAGTTATGAGGTCTTGCTTAAAAATAACTGTAATATGTAATTTCTGTTTGCTGAGTTGAGCAAACTTATATAAGTGGTTTATCAGCACAGACAATTGCATTGAGCGTTGGTCTGTTTCATGAAGTTAGGTGGTAAAGTGGATAGAGCTGGGCCTGAAGTATGGAAGACCTGAGTTCAAATATGGCCTCAGATACTTACTAGTTGTGTGGACCAGGGCAAGTCACTTAACTTATGTCTGCCACAGCTTCCTCAACTGTAAAATGAGAATAATAATAACCCGGGATTGCTGGGAAGACCAAACGAGATAATATTTGGAAAGTGCTTAGCACGGTGCCTGGCACATAGTAGGTGCTTAATAAATGTTCCTTTTCTCCTTTCCTTCCATTCTTTCTAGCCTGACTATAGCTAAGCTCAGAATGATGTTCTTAAATGCATAACATAAAATACATATGATTACAAAGAAAGTAAATTATATAATAAAACACTTATTAAAATGTATTTAAAAGTTTGATGTGTACCGGACACATACACCATAGACATCATCTGGGAGACTGCAGTGATTTCCCACTTAACAACTCTAGGAGAAGAGGACTCCCAGAAAACCTCAGCTCCTCTGCTGGCAGTCACTAAGAGAGGAAGAGGATCAGGCAGCAGCAGAGCAAGGAACGGGTGACTCAGCAGATACTGCCACTCATCAAAGGACACACAGAGCTCCAAGGTAATCCCTTTGTCTGCACTGCAGTTCTGCTGTTTATCTCTGAGAGAATCCCTTAACCTCTCTGGGCCTGAACAGAGCATCTTCTGTGCAATCTGTTCTGGAGGGTTATGATGAAGGGATGCTGTCTTGATTGAATTCAATGCGATTTACCAAGTATTTATTAAGTGCCTACTACGGGCATGACATTGTGCTGGGCACTAGTGATAAAAGACTAAAAAGGAAATAATCTCTGTCCTCAAGGTCCTTATGTTTTGGATGGAGGGAGAGAGGGAAGGAGATGGCAAAGCAGAAAAGCAAATAAGTAGATACAAAAAGGAAGTAAATAAACTCATTTTGAAGTTCAGGGAGTCAGGGCCAGAGCCAGGAGAGGCATGAAGGTAAGTGAGCTCCAGGAGGCAGTCACCAAGGAGAGAAAGGATGTGCCAGGGTGACTGGGGCTCACGACTAGTAGGATGTTGTAGGGTGAGGAAGCCCCAGGTGCTAAGGGAAGCTTCAGGATGAAGAAATTGTAGAGAAATGAGTCTAAAGTCCAGAAAGTCAGGAACAGGCCAGGCCGGGAAGGAAGGCAGGCCAGGCTGAGCTCCTTCACAAAATGGAGGCTTCAGGAGGAGCTCACCAATGGGAGAAGGGGGGAACAAGGTGAAGAGATTATATGCCTCTCCCTCTCCCAATTATTACTTAATAATTGGGGAACAGAGGTAGGGAATTAAGAAATAGTTTCTGAGCTAATCTTGGGGGGAAAGCAATAAAACTAAGAATATTAAATGATGGGTCTGAAGAAGAAGGGTGTTCTAAATATAACAGGGATGACTGATGACCCCACTCTCTCAGGGCCAGACCTGCTATGTTGCACCCCTACCCCCAAGGTTCTTCAGTACTATGAAAGGATTGGGAAGATCTCTTTCTTCTCTGCTTAGGCTCTGACCTGGCTATATTTCTCTCAGTTTTTAGGTACCCAGTGATTAGCACCCCACTTCCATTTTACTACTTATCACCAGATAGGCTTTTACAAAGGAGTGTTAGGTGGTTCAGTGGATAGAGACTTATCTTCCTGAATTCAAATCCAACCTCAGATATTTACTAGCTGTGTGACCCTGGGCAAATCACTTCACCCTGTTGGCCTCAGTTTCCTCATCTGTAAAATGGGACCCCAAATGGTGTCATGAAGAATCGGACATGGCTGAAAAACAACTGAACAACAACAGTACTGATATATTTTCCATAAGCAGTTATAATGCCTGTAAAGAAATGTCTGCTTCTTCCCTTGCATGAGAACTAACTGTGACACTGTGGGTTCTGTGTGTCTAAATGTAAATAGGAAATCTCAAGTGACTACAGATGTGGGTGTGCTGTGTAAAGCAGCCTTGGTAGTCTGCTATAGGAGTGGGCAAGGATGGATATTGTTTCTGAGAACAAGCCAGGCAAAGACAAATCTTGTATGGATAGAGAGAGAAGCAGCAGCAGGAGGAGGAGGGATGAGGCAGTAAAATTCCACAGAATTAACAAGTAGAGAAGGCAAGGAGATAGAAAGATGAATCTAATACAAGAAGCACCCGTTAGGAGCCTATCTGAGGCAAGGCACCCTGCTAGGAGCTGGGGGTACGCAGAGAAAAGAGAAAATAGCCCCTGTTTTGGACCAGAGGGAGGCAACATGCAAAATGATAAGCATATGCAGATGATATGAGGAGGAAGGAGATGGTACTAAAGGAATCCAGAAATGTCTTCCTAAGGGAGGAACTACAGTAATGGGGCCATGATGATCCTTAGGGCCAGGTGCTGTGTTCTTTTGTGTTTCCTGACCACAGCACCTAGCACTGGGTTTATGTAATGGATACATGAAGGAGAGAGGCTGTAGAAAAGGTACATTGTGGGCAAAGGGTAATAAATGTAAAGGGAGCAATCAGGGGAGCACCCCAATCTGCCGTACTGGGGCACAAAACCCACAGAAGGGAGCCAGAGGAGGCAGAGACATGGGCGACCCTGTAGCACCCTGGTTTGGCAGATCATGGGGACTCCCTGATTAGCTCTTGTTACATGTAGAATAAAAATGGAAAAAAAAGGAGGAAAACATCCTTTTTTGTCTAAGTGGACATACCATCGAGTTAAGGGAGCTGAGGCACCAGCAAATGAAATGGGGGGCACCAGAGATGCTGCACAGTGATGAATCCTTGCTACATTATCTCCCTGAAGAGGAGACATAACAAACGATTCTAGCTCTATTGGGGGAGCCAAAGAGCCCCCATTAAGTCCCTAACCTTGCTAACTGAGGTAGGGCCATGAATGATTTTTGACTCTCACCCCAACACTCCAAAGCCTCCTGTCTCTGTAGCCCTGCAAAGCAATCGACTTGCACTCCCTCTGAAACCCATGAGAGGATCTAAAGTGTGAGAGCTCAAAAAACCCATTGATGTAATTCTGTTGGAATTTAGTACAGCTTACAGGTGGGGGTGGCTGGATGGTATAGTGCGTAGCATGCCCAGCCAGAAGTCAGAAAGACTCATCTTCCTGAGTTAAAATCTGGCTTCAGATACTTACTAGCTGGAAACCCTAGGCAGGTCACTTAACCCTGTTTGCCTCAGTTTCCTCATCTGTAAAATGAACTGTAGAAGGAAATGGCAAACCACTGTAGTAATTTTGATAAGAAAACTCCAAATAGGGTCACAAAGAGTTGGACATGACTGAAAAACAAATTCAACAACAACACATCATAATCATTACATCTTTATCTCAATAACACTGGGAAGTAAGTGCTATTATTATCCTCATTTCACTGATGAGTGAAATAAGAGTTTCTTAACTGAAGCAAACAGAGGTTAAGTTCACACAGGTTCACACAGCTGCTAAGTGTCTGAGTCTGCATTTGAACTCAGGTCTTCCTGGCTCCAAATCCAGCTCTTGTTCCACTGAACCACCTAGCTGCTACATAAATCCATCCTATGTTCTAGGAAGGATGGATTCCTTTTAGATGTCTTAACATAGTATACATATAAATGGGGAATAAGAGCCATCTGTCCGTCACCTCCTACTCTTGCTACATGGCTAGACCAACTCCTTGTCCATATGAGGCAATTGGCTTGGTGGGGAAAGCACTGCACATATGGTGAGAAGACCAGACTTCAAATCCTTTCTCTGTCACTTATGACCTGAATTATTTTGGGTAAGTCACTTAACCGTTACGGGCCATCATCATATAGATGAGTTTCCTCATCTATAAAGATAGATAAAGATATAAAGACAAGATAGGTTGGATCAAAGGTGCTTAATCTTGGGTCTACAGATCCCCAAAGAAGGGGCTATAGGCACAGGAGCCTTGGGAGTGGCAGCCACTCTCCTGAGGAGCCAGCTCTCCTCACCATGTGCCAAAAAAAAAATAGCCCACACAGAGCAGGCAAGCCAGCCAGGCTGAAGCAGCAAGGTCCCCTGAGGGAGAGACAGGAGGCAGCATATGCCAGGCAAATTACTGCCCACCACGTTGGTCACCGTGTCCCCTCAGACCCTGATACGGACAACCCAAGACCCCAAACGCAAAATCATTGTCAATAGCATTGCTTGCAGCCTACCACCCTCAGCCATCGTCCTGGGAAGCAACTTCTATGGCGACTGACCTGAGGATGAAATAGCCACAGCTACTAATGATGCAGAAAAGAAAATTCTTGGCACTGTGAGATAGTTCAACATCAGGAACTAATGTTATTTTATCAGTGTAAATGCCATTCAAGAAGAGGCATTATCATCTGCTTTGTTATTGCACCCTAAAGATCATCGGACTTTTCCATCTCTGACTTTCAGCTGAACTGGGCCACAGGGGTTGTCTTCCCCCATTAGAACGTGAGCTCTGTGAGGGCAGGAACTATCTATATGCCCAGTACTTAGCACGTGGAAAGCACTTACTAAGTGTCTTATTAACCCATTTATTCATTTACTCATTCCATGAATAGATTTAAGGAGGTCTGTGAACTTGGATGAGAAAAATACATCTTTATTTTCACTAACCTTTAGCTGAAACTTAGCATTTCCTTCAATTATGAATGTAGGCAATAAATGTGATTCTGAGGAGTTAATAGATTTCGCCAAAGTGTTCCATGACACAAAAGAGGTTAAGGTCCCCTGGCCTAGATAGACAAGATATCCTTCAAAGTCCCTTCCAGCTCTAAAATCTATGGCCCTTCTGACCCTTTATACTTTTCTAGTACAATTCTTAATTGATATGGTACAATCTACCTATGTCCAATGTGCTTTTCACCATTGCCCTCTAGGTGAGCCCCAATTTTAATTCTTTAGTGACTATATTAATCCATGACTCATACAGCCTTATCAGGAGAATATTGACATTAAGATGGGCTTTTAATTCATGGGGAAGCTTGAAGTCATTAAAAACACTGTACAATTTCCCAAAGGAAATTCAGCCTGCTCTCCTCCTCTTCCTTCTCCTCAATTCATTTCCCATCCTCCATGTCTGCCCAAGTTATTGGTACTGATGGACCCTCTCCATGGATTTTCCATCCAACTGAATATCATATTCTGGACAATAGACATCCTGCATCCACTTTCTTATATGGATAGTTACTCAACCAATTAATGGGCATTTATTAAGCACTTAATGTATTCCATACAGTATGTTAGACACTGAGGATACACACACAAGGCAAAATTGTCAGGTCAAATTTATTCAGTATAATAACAACAGCAATAAATCACATTTATATAGTACTTTCAGCCTTACAAAGTTCTTTCCCCAAAAGCAACCAAGGATTGGATGTGGAGCCAAGAAATCCTAGATTCAAATTGTGACTATGACATTTGTTTTCTGCGTGAATCATTTACCCTCTCTGAGCCTCAATTACCATTTATATGATATGGTGATAATAAAACTTGACTGCTCATCTAATTAAGTTGCTGTGAGGAAAGTGCCTGACGCATCATAGGCACTTAATAAAATGCTTGTTGACGTGCTGACTGGCAACCCTTAGAGTTCTAGATAACTTGTGAGTAATTATTGT